CTGCGCGTGCCAAACCAATGTCCAGACCAATTTTGGAAGTCTGGGGATATTTGCCCAGTATTTGTCACAAGGTTTATAAACTTGCAGGATAGTTTAGAAACCTTCTTGAGTGTTTGGCATTTTCCTGCAACAAGGCAACGCCCTGGCAAGTCGTCATGGTCATGGTATCCTTGAAACGGGGGGGGGGGGGGGGGGGTTGGAAGGCCTCGGCCGCAAGGTGTGACTCAACCAAGCTTTGTTAAAGACTTGTCTCACCACCCCCGCCCCCTCCGCCCCCCCTCCCTCCCTCCCTCCCTCCCTCCCTCCCCCCTCCCTCCCTCCCTCCCTCCTCCCTCCCTCCTCCCTCCCTCCCTCCCTCCCTCCCTCCCTCCCTCTGTCCCAGGCTGCTTCTTAACCTCCCCCAGGTGCCAGGTGTTGCCTGTTGCAGTTGCAGGGAAACCGACAAACCCTTGACATAGTTTATAAACTTTCCTGAATGTTTATAAACTCTTCGACTCAACAGACTTGTCACCCACACAACATATGCAACAACAGCACACTTCTTGCGTATATGTGCTCCCCCTGTCTTTAAAATAAGAGGATTTTGTACATTTTGAAGTCGAAAGGTAGGCCCTGCGGGGGGTGGGGGGGGGGCGCGTATATATATATATATATGTACATATACAGAATATGTATATATATATATATATACACGTATATTTATGCATAGTATACAGACATATTCTAGTGTATTTTTGCCAACTTCATGAGTCTGACAAACTCCAGGTCGCGAAGCTAGCAGATATGTCCATTCTTGCCTTCACGAGGACGCTGATTCCAATCTCATCATTTTGCAAGCGGATGCATGCTTTGCTTGATTTGACTCTGCTAGGAAATTGGCGCACACTCATATGAGTGTTTCTCAAAATGGCGGACCACCTTTTGGTTTGGTAGTTCAAGGGAAACCAAAAGCACACACACACACTACCCATTTTTTGGGACAACAATTTCGAGGAATCCCCTTTTCATATTTTTCTTTCGGGTGAGGATTCTTGGAGCCATCCATCGAACACCGGTGTTGGCTTCCTACAGAGGCAGGATGTCGCCCATCGATTCGCGTGACGTTTGCAGCTTGCTAGGCCACCCGGGGCTGCAGCAGCGCTTGGGCAAGAATTGCAGGCCCACGGAACGGCGCAGTTCGCTCCTCCCGTTCTGTGGATAAAGCGAAATCCATTTCGCAAAGAAACCGCTGGTTTCCGATACGACTTCTGGTTTCAGAGTGGTTCAGGATTTCGCCCATCCACAGTGTGTGTCACCCTTTCGGACCTGAAATCAAAGCTTGCCACTGCTCAGGGTCAATCTGAGCAGCGGGCTCCACTATGGCTGGGCCATTGAAGGCGCGACGCGGCTAGCCGAAGATGTCCGAGTGCATCAAGATGTGTTCAGGTGCAGTCGGCAGTGAGTTCAAGATCGACGCGTCTTACTTGTCACCAAATGCCCAAATCCTACTGCGAAAGGGTGGCGTGCAAGTAAGCATGTTTGTTATCCGTCACCCTCTTCAGATTCAACATCACCAAGCCTGATGTAAGGTCAGTATTGCGGAGACGGTTGAACGTGCGACCCAGATCTATGGCGTGAGTATTTTAGCCAGCAGCCCAAGCATCTCATCATGGAACCCAGACTTTGGTGTCCCAGACGGTGGGCTTTGATACATGTGTTGCTGCCGCTTCAGCCTGCTGGCCCAGGTTGCTGAATCGGTCGTGTCGATCTGCTCTGCTCCCATGGCGGCCAAATGTCGATTGATTGACCGGGTCATCATTACAGGGCCCATGCCTCATCGAAGGTTGAGTGCCAGTTGTGAGCCAATTCGATGGCGCTGTTTGAGGTCTGTTGTTCCGATGGATTTGTACGTCATTGACCTTGACTACATGAGCCTCACTGTCAGACACTTACAAATTGGTTCTATTTCTGCACCTCTTGCCATCGTTCACGCCATGTTGCAACAGAAGAGTTTCGATCTGGCCAAGGTTGAGCCACCTCTTGGTCCTCAACGGTGGACCACCAGAGATCGGTTCAAGGCGGACGCAGTTCACGGGCTGTTCAAGAGTTGCTGTATGCCAGGTGCGACAATTCCTGGAGCACGAGAAGGACCAGAAGTTAGCAGATGGGGTGTGGATCTCATGATCTCATAGAGAGCCCATTGCTGTTTATCAAGACATGTGGAACACTTCAGTGCATGCGTCATAGGTGAAGATGGTGAACCTGTTCAATGAAAATGCAGGCGCGTCGTGTGTCGGGCGAGCAAGAAGGCAGAGTCATATACACATACATCAGCCTTGTGCGGGACATATAGTTTGGGCATTAACGTGTATATATATATATATATATTTACATATGTATACATATATACATATACATATGTATATATTTGTATACATATATGTATGTATGGACTGCATGATGTTGTAGAGTAGGGCATGGGAACATTTCTTCAAGCTGAGCAACGTCCTCACCAGACATTGCATCCATGCGCTTCCGCTACACGCTGGAGTTCATCCATGCCTGGGGCTGATTTTCTGACACTGCATAGCACTGTGGCACATTGCTTGCTGTTTCTGACAAGTGCTCCTACGTTGGTCAGGTTTTCAACATGGGCTATCAGAACTACTCGCAGGGTGAATGGCAGGCCGCCAAAAGTCCGGGGTTCGGCCTGCAAAGAAGCCCGTTCTGCTATAAGAATTCAGAAACAGCTCTTTTGCTTGGCAGCCACAGGACTTTGGTGGGGTCATGCCCATGACTTTCCTGGAGCAACATGCAAACATGCACAGGTGGCGCAAAGGTTGCTCTTGCGAACGAGGGACATGCTCGGTGTGGAGGCTCGCTCGGGCGTTTGCTTGAGCGTTGCGTTGGCGTTGCAAATTGCAAGGGTTCTCGAGCATGTGAGCAACCGTCAATGTTCACTGGGTACCTACGGCAGTAGAGGTGTTGGCACAGACACGCATAGACACCCACACACACACACACACACACACACACACACACACACACACACACACACACACACACACACACACACACACACACACACACACACACACACACACACACACACACACACACACACACCGCAACACACACACACACACCACGCAACACACACACACGACAACACACACACACACACGACAACACACACACACACACACACACACACACACACACACACACACACACACACACACACACACACACACACACACACACACACACACACACACACACACACACACAAACCAACACACACACACACACACACACACACACACACACACACACACACACACACACACACACACACACACACACACACACCTCACACACACACACCACACACACACACACACACACCTCACACACAAACACACACAAACACACCACACACAC